GAGGAGAGAGAAAGAAAGAGGAGATGAGAGAGAGAGAGAGAGAGAGAGAGAGAGAGAGAGACGATGGCATGAGAAGTTGACCCAGTCCGTGACGAGTGGTCAGTGATCACGTGTCACCGCCTTCAAGATCACACTGCCGAACGCTATTTCGACGATATAATAACGATTCCTATACAAACCTATACTAACAATGAATTCTGAAATACAACGAACGATACCAATCTGTTATATATAGAAATAGTCTTGAAAAATATAGTCGAGCGTTTATAACGTGTTCTATATATTTATAAACTATTAGTGTTTATATTGCTAATCTCACCTATTTGAAAATTTCTAAAAACTTGTGCGGGTGTGAGCTCTAACAGAGAAATTATAACCAAGCAGCATTCTTCTGGTCATTATTTATAGAATTTATCATTTTCTCGACAGGATCTTGCCGTGTTTGATAAGGCTCACAGTGAGATAGGAAAATCCGGATACACGGGGCTTCGATGCCTCTATTACCCAGCGGTACCCAACATTGCCGGTATGTCTACCTTCCTGGGTTTCCTATCTAGAAAATTCCCACTATTCTATACAGCACAAATATGTTGCGCCCGGTAGTTGAGGTATTTAATAAGGATTATTATGGTATGTAAGAATGTTCTATATCAAACTAAGCCTTCAAGGAATGAATCTATACGTGCGTACCAGACCGTGCGTGCAGTACCGTGGGGGTGTAATTCCAATGTTTGGCTGGCAGTATATCGACCTATATTCTGGCTGACTGCCTGTCCGTCTGTCTATCTGTTTGCTTGTCCATCTATTCTTTGTCAGTCCGTCCGTCCGTCCGTCTGCCCGTCTGTTGTTCTGTCTATCTCTTATCAATCCATCCGTCTTATGTGCATCTTATAGCAGTAGGTATATATAAATTAGAAGTAAAAACACACGGATACCCATTCAGATAATATAGAAAATAAGAGTATGTTGTCGAAAGCTCGCAAAATAAAAAAAACGTCAAATTTTTGTTTTTATTTTTTTCACTTTTGCTTTCTCTCAGTCTCTCTCTCTATTTATTTATTTATTAATTTATTTATAAATTTAAGCAATAAATTATATATTTATGGTCTAGATCTGTACTCGGCAGATATAAAAGCAAACCAGATGCGATGTGGACAGCACTCAGACTGGGGAACCATCACTTTGCTTTTTCAAGATACAACAGGGGGCTTAGAGGTACTAAATTATATCCGGTGTGACATTATAAATTACTCACCGAATGTACCCTGTAAACGCATATTTGATAACATCACGCTTGCACGTATAAACTGTTTCCTTATAAGGTATGATGGCGTTTATTATACGATATATGGAAGAAATAAAATATAATCGATTGCTTTATTCAATTCTCATCCAGGAGGATAGGTATATATATATATATATATATATATAAATGTGTGTGTGTGTGTGTGTGTGTGGTGTGTGTGTGTTCGCCACGTGCTGTCGTGCTGCTGTGTGTTGCGTCGGCCGTGCGTGCCAGTCGCGTCAGCGCCAGGAATGTGTGTGCGGCGTGCTTGGTGCGCGCGCATCTGTGTGCGCTGCCGTTGGTATAATATAAATAATATATACATACATAACTTATTTATATATTATAGGCTGTTTAAAGCCGAGATGGGGAATCGTGGAAGTGAATCCATGAGCGGATTGCGGTCTTTGTGAAGTTAAGGCGGACCTGTTACGAGCGATGGACATCCAAGCAAGTTATAGTTATCGTCTGTAAGTGACGTGAACGTCGTTGATGTCAATGATTGTCTGAACGATGATACCTGAATACAGTCAAGAGCTTAATAAATACCTATAGTATTTATGATTTAAATATAGGCTATTTATTAGATTATTGTACAGTCTAATAGCGAAATTCATATTCAGATTTGTTTATTAACGCGTACTTATATCGAATATACATTTATTTTACTGAGCCAGCTGAAAACTTACAATTTTTTCATAACTCGCCCATTTTGTTTGCACGGGGCCTATGGCGGTGATTTCCTTCCTAAGAATTACACGTTGATGGTCTTGAAAGTGTTTCATCTTGATTTTTTTTTTTTATCAAGTTCTTGCTTTTTCGACATCTATCATCATGAACATGCATATACTTAGGATATATATATAGATAATATATATATATATATATATATATATATATATATATATATATATATATATATATATCAGAGGTAATTAATATTAAATTAAGATTATTTAACCCTTAATATAATTATACATAATTATATATATATGTATGCTATATAAATAAATAAATATATATATATAGCATAGATATGTTCATGCTATAATACATCGATCACGTGCATCTTTGCCAGCTTCATCGGGTTCAAGTAGTGAGTCAGGGAGGCGAGGCGGGGGAGACTCACAGCAGACCAGCCCGTCAGTCACTCGCCTACTTCGTGATCCCGGACAGCTCGGCAGTGGTGACGCCACTGGTCAGTGAAAAGCTGGACGGCACTGCCAAATACGCACCCATCAACGCGGGTGGATACATGATAGCCAAACTGAGAAGCACGTTCTATTAACGTACACATATATATGTATGTGCATAGCGGTCTACTGAGGTGGACGTTCTATATTAACGTACACATATATACGTGTATAGCGGTCTACTGAGAAGCACGTTCTATTACTGTACATATATACATGTAATTAAACGGTCTACTGAGAAGGGAGTTCTATTAACATACATATATACATCAGGAGTAGATAATAGGGAATTAATTCCCAATTATCTACTCCTGATATACATGTATATAGCAGTCTGCTGAGAAGCGAGTTCTATTAACGTACATCAAGAGTAGATAATAAAACCATAAATGGTTTTATTATCTACTCTTGACGTACATATATAGTGCCCTACTGAGAAGGTAGTATCCTGACGTACATATACATAGCGGTCTATTGCGAAGCGAATTCTACGGTACATATAGAGTGCCCTATTCAGAAGGGAGTTCTATTGCCGTACACATACATAGCGGCGCGTGTGCATACACGCATGCGCGCACGTATGCGTGCGTGCACATATACGAATGCGCGCACGCGTACACGCACGCACGTTTTCCTGTAAAAAATTACTTACGTTTGGCTGGGTATTACTGTACGTGGGTTTCATCACGAGTTTATTATTTATGTAGCAATTTTGAATTTGACGTTTAAGATATATTTCTCGTATTTTTATCTCTTTCAAAATATGGTCTGAAATAATGTGAACGCCATGAAGGGTGAAGTAGTTATTAATTTCTACAAGCTTATACGATATGTAAGTAAAAACATGCGCGTATATTCGCGGTTATGGTCGGAATGCTGTTCTGAATGAGAATAAATTGGCGATTGAAGTGCCATAGTATGGGTAGAATTGATTTTAACTATGGACTGCTAAATAGGACTTTTACGTTTTTTTCAACACTATAGAATTCATATCATGATATAAATAAATATAATATTACATGCAAAAATATGTATTCCAATGCTTTCATAACAAAAACGTATTATGAGTATGTGAAAGCATAGACTATAATAGATATTATATATATATATATATATATATATATATATATATATATAATAGATATTCTTAGTCTATGACTCTATGCCCTGGACGAGCAGAAGAAACGGAAGTTGGCCGCGATGCTGTTTAATGGTGCCACGTAGTAGAGAAATATAGAACTACGAGCAGAAACGACATTGACCATGCCGGCATGACCGTGGCATTGATAGTGACCGTGGCTTTGCATTAACAAGTAAAGGTTGGTCCGATACTAGACGGGTCCGTTGTCATGTCGAGTCGGCAATATAACATGTTCGACCGACGAAGTAGTGACCAAGTGACGAGGGTTACTCGTCTCTCAGACTCGTCTAACTGTCTAACTAGCAGTGCCCTCTGTTGGCAAAAAATGTTGTAAAATCGCAGAAATTTTTATATTTAATTCGATTCCAATTTCCATTGCATTTTGAAGGTATGGTATTAGTTAAACAACTTAATTAACAAAGCAGATAGATTTAAAGAAATGAAACCAAATAAATAGAAGGGTTGGAGGGCGAAATATAGTAAAATGCGGTTGCACAGAGTGACGCGTGCAGGGTTAATGAAGCCATAAATATATACACACACTTGTTTGTATATATATATATAAATTTACGATGAAACTGGGCCTGGACCACTAGTTTAGTAATTTTGCAGTAAAATTATTAGGTATAAGCGCAAATAAATTTAATATGATTTTTATAAATCTTTCGCAGAAAGAAGCACATATTAAAAACTAGAAATATTAAATATACATGCATATAGGCGTACATCTACATATACATATACATATACATATACATATACATATACATATACATATACATACATATATATATATATATATATATATATATATATATATATATATATATAAGTAAGGTCACACACGAACACCCGTGTAGATAAAAACAAAGTCAATAATATTTATTGATTTTATATTTGATTTATTTATTGCGTCAATGTATAGAATAAGGGTGTTTAAAGTTTAATTGACGAGCTTTCGAGATTACATCTCTTCATCAGGTCAGTAGACATTGGAATAGAATCAAATAATCATAAACAAATACAATGCGTTATAGATAATCAAAAATGAATGGTTCACAAAATTCGCGCGTTGCCATGAATACGTACGGCAAAAGAACACGCACATATATATATACACGCACAAAAACACACACACACACACACACACACACACACACACACACATACACACACAACCCCCCCCCACAGTGCCCACACACACACACACCCACACACCCACACACACAAACACACAACGAAGCAATGGACTCAAAAATCACACGTAATTAAAGTTTACGTTCATGCCCCCTGGATTTCAACAACCAACCCTCAGAATTAATTTCTGCTCAGTCATGTGTCGACGTGAGCTATTGTAATATGGTGTCAGTTGGCAGCCACACACACGCGGCATGAACGTAAACTTTAATTACGTGTGATTTTTGAGTCCATTGCTTTGTTGTGTGTTTGTGTGTGTGTGTGTGTGTGTGTGTGTGTGTGTGTGTGTGTGTGTGTGTGTGTGTGTGTGTGTGTG